TACCGCAGAGTGGGACAGCCACGGCTGCAGGTTTTCAGGTCTCAGGTTCTAAGGCTCCTCTCCTACAGAATCCAGTCTTTAAGACCCCCGGAAGACAGATGTCCACCAGGGCCATCCCTCAGGACTTCGTTCAATCTCAGCCTGAAGTGGGGACAAAGATCATGGGGCCGCTGATGGGAGGTGTCCTTTGGGGAACCAGCCTCAGCTGTGTGTGTGGGCAGATGTAGCCCTTCACATCCTGTCCAGGACAGGATGGGCTGGATATAAGCTTTATGAGTCTGTCTTGTGCTAAGTGTCTAATAAGGTCTAATTTGGGGCAGCAGCGGTAGGGGGAGGATGGTTCTCGGCAGTGGGACACGCAGTGCCTCCTCAGCCTGCTGCTGGGCGTGGGTGTTAGCCCCTCCCAGGGTGCTTGGTGGCCTTCTTTTGCACCTGTGGCTGGCCTGTGGTGTAACGGCCCAGCCTGCCTCTTCTTGGCACGTGGCCTGGGGCGATGCTATCGCTAACTCTGTATTTTTAACTCTTCTTTCCAGAGGATGTGGTTTCTGCGGGAGAGCTTCAAAGGGTGCCGTGTTTGCCCCTGTCAGCAACCATGAGGTCATGGAAATGGGAGGAGGGCTGCTCAACCCCAAACACCTGGAGGGAAGTGGGAGCCTTTTTCCATTTCCTGTTCTACTTCTGGCTATCTGACCCGTTTACTAATTTCAAAGTGCTGCTCTATGTATGATCCTCAGAGGAAATCCTATGTGTGTATGTCTGTGTGAAAAGAAGGCCTGAGGTGACTCTATTGCCTACCCAGCCTTTACCTTAAGGCTGCCTCAGCAGCCAGAATGTTCATTAGCAAGAGGGTCAGTATTTGACAGGTTCATACCCAGAAGCCCTCCTTCTCAGGGGTTGTTTGAGGAGGTTGGCTGGAGATGAGACTAGTGTAGGCCCAATGAAAAGCCGTTGTGGACCTAACTGAAGTGGACCTAACTGAAGTATATCTAACTGAAATAGATCAAAGCCGTCGTGGGCCTAACTGAAGTGGACCTAACTGAAATGGACCAAAGGCATCGTGTATGATCAGAGCTCAGACTTCTAGCAACTGGAGTTTCTTAGAGTGTCTGTTCTCCAGGATTTGATGGGTGGATGAGGGCTTGCTTGGGTTTGCGTTGGTCCAGGGGCCACCATTCAGGGTTCCTTTTCCTGATAGTTCTTGCCAAGCTACTCTGCTTTTTGCAAAGCTCAGGCCACTAGTGGCTCACCTGGCCCCTTCCTGTATGAATTCTCACCTTTCTTCTTCCTGGACTTCCTACCCCTCAAGCTCAGTTTCCTCCCCAGGGCCCAAGGGTATAGATCTGTCATTGGTTCATTTGCTGGTGTTTGTTGTCAGGTCCCACGCTGGGTGTGGAGGACATGCTGATGAGCTCCTACTCCAGTAGACCTTCTTGTGGAGGTGTTGCCCGTTAATAATGTGATATCAGGGTTTTTACATGTGATTCGGAATTGGATTTTATGGTACGCTAAAACATAGAAAAACACAACAAAACAAATCTTTAGGCCTCAGATGGCTGCCTGCTCTGTCAGAGCTGAAGTCCCATAGCACATGCCTGAGCTGCCTGCCCATGTCCTGATTGAACAGTCATTCCTGCTGTACTCAAAGGGCAAGTTTCTGAAGTTTCAGGCCGCCTTCCAGAGTTTTAGCTCTGGGATGTGAGGAATCATTGGCTCCATTTTTCTGCCTCCAGAACTGGTCTGTACTTAAGCCTTTGAGGCAGTTGGGCATTTGTCTAGAGAAATCCATTCCACAGCTGGTCCTGGCAACCCATTTACTTCTGGGATGGGCACCTTCCCTCTAAGAGCTAGGTCCAGGCTGGTTGGGGTGCAATGGCAGCCTGCGACCCTCGGTCCTGCATCACATCTTGAAGCTTCCCTCCAGGCTAAGCAATGCCTGTACCTTACATCTGGGCCCTCTGATCTGAGGCTCTCTGCTTTGGTGACCCTAGTCCCAGAGCTGACCTTTCTAGTGGGCACACAAACCCATCTCCTGAGCCTCTCCACTGATTCCTTCTGATATCCAGGGGCTCAGAACCAGACATGAGAACAGTAGTCCAAGATGGATGAAGGCTCTGCCTCTTCCCCAACACTTGCTCATCCCCCATGTACTTGTTTCTAGTCTCCCCTTGTCCCCTAACTCTCACTAGCTTTAGATTTAGCCTTGGGTGTCAGGGAAGGTTCTTGCTGGGATTTAGGAACCCTGAGATTAATTGGAAATTTCTCAGAGGGTGGAGAGGATCCTGCTTTTCTGATGGCCTCCTGCCTTTCCAGGCCTTGTCACCCCCTAGATTGGACTGGACCTGAAGGAGGAAGCCTTACTTGCTCTGTGGGTGTGGGTGGATCCCCAGGCCTCTGCCACCTGGATGCTCAGATGACCTTAGGGTTCTAGTGACCTCCAGATGTTGCTATCTGGGGTACTGGGCTAACACGATTCTACAAATTCCCTTAGGCCTCCTTTAGTCTGGGTCTCTTTTGAGCTCAGTGGAAGGGTCTGCCTTTGTTCCCTATATTCCTTCAAGCCTCCTGACTCCTGCCCTATAACCCCAAGGTCCTCTTTGGCCTCAGCATAACTAAACCAATTCTCAGGAGACCTCCCTCACCAGCCACCCATACTTTCTTTGCCCAGTTCTTTTTTATACAGAACAAAGTGAATTGCCATTTTAGGAAGGGAAAAGAAAAAGACAAACTAATTTGCCCTAAGTTTTTAATGACTGATAAAGACCTGCTCTACTAACCCTCCCAGGGGCATTTTCATTTAATAAAGGGAAGGAATGGTTTAATTAAAAGAAATTCCCAGTGGTAGACTCTCTGGCATCATGTCAGACAGATGAGGGGGAGCTTTGGGGAAGAGGTCTCCTGGAGTTCTCTACAGGTGGTGGATCCCACCCTGGGAAGGCAGTACCTGTCCTCCTGTGTGTGAGAGTGACCCTGCTATAATGTCTCTTGAGGCCTTTACTTTTAGTAACCTCAAAAGGATTATATTTAGGCTAGAGATAAGGTAGTTTAGAAATAACAGGATTCTGTGATCTCTCTGGCAGAGGTGGCCAGGAGATGGGACACTGGTTTTTGCTGCAGGTAACCTCTAGCCCTATCTGACATTTCCTAGGTGGGCACCCTGAAGCCCACAGAGGAGAGGGACGTGCTCTAGGTCACCCACTTAAAGCTGGTAGCTCCATTCCTATGAGAAGAAGCAGGGCTGAATTACAGTAGGAAGAATTTGCATACTTCTGGCTGGTGTGGTTGGAGATACCACAGGTGAACCATAGGCGTATTTGATGGCGGTGGGAACCCTGGGAATTAGTAAGTGCTTCATTTTGGTCTTGGTCGGGTAGTTGTTCATTGGATGGTTGAGTGGTCTCTGAAGTGTATTCCCATCAGAATCTCTGCCTATGGGGAAAGGTGCTCTGACAGCAGAGGCTCAGCACAGAGAGCAACAAGCTGTGAGGGCCCAGGGAATCCCACTTCTTGTCCCTGAGGAGAGTTTAGGACATCTACTCTCCTGGGCCAAGTGTTTGGCTTGAGAACGATTCTCCCCTGTCTTCATTCTCATGTCTAGGATTGTTGGAATGCAAGAGAGTTCTGCTGGGTTTTCCACCTCCTACACTGCTCCTAGATGGGGCAGCTCAATGGCTGAGCACAGGGCTCGAGCAGCAGATTGCAGGTCATACATTTGTGGGGCAGCACACGAGTTCAGTGGCAAGCCAATCTGAGAACAAAAGCAGAGGAAGTGTCCCTGGAGGGCAGGAGCCAGTGGGTGACATTGTGGGGGACGCTTGATGTGTGGTCTTTGCCAACCAGATTTCAACTACAGGTCACAACCATCCATGTTGTGGGCCTCCTGCTATGGGTGGCCCTGAGGTTTGGCATGAGCAACCCACACTTGTAAGAGGGTTTTTCTGGCCCTTGGCATAGCTTGCTTAGTGGAATTTTTTTAGAGGTCATTCCAAGAAGAGGTTGACTCAGCAGTATGCTGCCAGGGCATAATGGGTACTCGTCTTGGTTTTTCTTTGCCTAGTGATAAGCAGCCCATAGAAAATGCCCCCACCAAACCCAGTCAAATAGGAATACAGTTTCTGCTTTTCTAAATCATCTTTAATGAAGTCATGGGCAGCAGCAGAATATACAACACGGTTCAGATACACACAGGAGCAGGGAGGGCCTAGGCCTTGAGATAACTGTCCACATCTTGAGGAAAGACGAATATATATTTCTTCATGAATATTGTTTTAAAACAAGCTCTTTATAACATTTTCCAGGAGCTACAGTCCAAGAGACTCCATGGGGATCTGTTGATTGGCAGGGGTGGAGGTGGGGGTGGGGTGGTGTTGTATGGCTGGTGCAGCTACTTCACAGGGAAAGTCGCAGCCCCTGCCTTTGGGATGAATGACCAGCAGCGGTAAGGGAACAGAGGGCGTGACAGCAGTTCTTAGCAGCGCTTCAGCAGTCTTCATCACAAATTCAGGAGATCCCACTGGGGCCAGACAGCTGGTGGGTGTCTGCCCCACAGGGTGAGAGGGCCCCCTTTAATTGAAGAAGGAGGGGAGAGGCCATGAGGAGGAGCTTGGGAAGCACAGGCTCTTTCAGTCTGGCCGACCTGGAGTGAGGAAGGTAGAAGTCAGACTGGGTGCTGGGGAGGACCAGGGCTGTTAGGTATGTGATGGAGATGATTTTGTTTGAAGCTGTGCAAGATGACTGGGGACTTTGTGGGAGTGGAACCATGATGACTCTGGCCAGGATTAGGGCTAGTGTTCGTCTCTCAGGGGAGACATGGCTGATGGACTGTGTTTTGTTATACACGTTTCAGGTGCCTGTGGTAACAGGAACTTGTAACAAGAAGGAATAGAAAAGTTCTATGGGTTCCGTTTTAGGATTTAAAAGCAAATACCTATGTGGAAGCTTGCTGTCAGAGCTGGGATTCACTCGGAAACCCACATCCCTCCCCGCTCCGATGCCTCCTCACCTTAGCTGGACCACAGCCGCAGCGTCATGAGTAGGTTAAATCCAGCCACTTTTAGGAGGAAGATACGGAGTCCCATCACCGACAGGTTTTGAAAGTTTAGGTTCATGTCTGTAAAACCAAGAGGTTGTAACCATTATGGGTATGCACATCAGAGGTCTGCATGGCAACTCATGAAACCCTCGGCCAGGTAGGCCGGGTATGGGTAAGCTTCAGTTCATGGATCCACCTCTCTTTGAGTTTCTGTGCATGTCTCAAGGCAAACATATTTGTATATTTCTCCAGGATCTATAGCTTTGTGTTTCAAAACGAAACCACCAAGTGGACTTGGTCCTTATTTTATTCTGAGGTCCTATAGGGATGGGGATGGGGATGAGGATGGTAAGTGCTCAGAACTTGTCACCACAATCTGTTGGGTCTGGGCTCCTCAGTGAAACTAGTGGGTGAACCACAAGAACGATAACTCATTGAGAGACAGGACCTTTGCCCAAGCCTATATGAGTTCTGCTGTGTGTGTGTGTGTGTGTGTGTGTGTGTGTGTTTTCCAAAGAAGCTACCCAAGATATAGAGGGAGAGTGTCCTCAGAATGACCTGATTAGTTCAGGGCTGTACTGAAGGGAGCCAGAAACTTCATAGCTAAACTCTGGGCAGCTCTCTTTGGTTGTTCTGACAGATAAATTGAAAGGAATACAGAGGCACAGGGTGAGTCATTAGCTTAATAAAACTGGAGACACATCTTTCAAGTACTTAGAGTGGAAAATGAAGTTGGCTATTCTGGGAGGGGTTCGAGAAAGATCCCAGTGGCTGGAAGCAGGTTTAGAAGTACTCTTTCCATTCCTTATAACCTGCATTCCCAGATCCATCCCCCTTGTCTCCTCTGTGCAGTAAAGGTTATTATGGGTTCATCACCTCTCCAAGTTTGGGCAAAGTTGGGCAGATCCTTCTCTTACCTGTTTCAAAGCTTTTCTCCACCAACTTGGCATCACAGGTCACATCTAAAACAAAAAACAAAGACATTTTCTTAGAGTCTGGAGCATGCCGACTCTCCTACTCTAGACCTCCTGTGAACATATAACAGTCTTTCCTTGATTCCTTGGGGCAGAGATCTGGAGGGAACTTACTGGAGCATGCCACTGATCCTGATAAGACCAATACCCTGCCTCTGGGCACTCTTTGATTCTTTCAATAAACGCTAATTGTGGAAAATGTATACAAAGCAACAAAGAGCTGTCAGCATAAACCCTGTCCTTGGGCAGGTTTCAGTCTAGAGGCCAATAAAAGTAGAAGGACATTTTGACAGTGACTAGGGCCATCAAGGGACAGATGTTTCCATGTATTCCAAAAAGTTCTGATTTCCAATGTCCTCCTTCATTATCTCTGACTCAGTATAGTACCATTAACTCAAATGCTCTGTCATAGAATCCAGCCACCATCCTTGGTACCCCGTTGCTTTCTCATAGCTCTATCTTTTCAAACCAAGTGGTACTGGCCACTGGACTCCTTACCACTACCTGGCTGGGCTTTAATCATCTCTCTGTTACAATCACTTCCTGTCTTTATTTACTGGGCGCACAATCCACTGTCCACACGGCAATCAGCCTGATCTTTTATTTTACTTCATCATTTTAAGAGACAGGGTTTCATGTAGCCCAGGCTGGTCTAGGAATTGATATGTAGCTGATGATAACCTTAAACTTTGGATCTTCTTGCCTCTACTTCTATAGGGCTGGGATTACAGGTATATGCCACAACATCTGGTTTTATGCAGTATGAGAGTACAGGGGCTTTCCCCAGCTCCCAGCATTCCCGTCTTGGCCTTCCACAGGGTCCTCTCTCTGCCCTGTGCATGGCTGGTCCCTTCTTATCCTTTAAGTTGTAGCCTGAATAGCATTTCCTTAGAGTTTTTCCCTAGCTTTTGCCTCGAAGGTGGTTCTTTCCTCCACCCTCAGTTAAAGCACATATTAATTACAGCCTGAAGTTGTTCAGACCTCCTTCTGCTGATAGATGGTCTTTCTAGACTAAAATGGCACTTCCTAAAGACAGGCTTTTCCTCTGACTTCTTACTTCACTCAACGCATTATGATCTTGGCAGACATAGAAATAAGGGAGGCAGCTTGGGGAAGGATGTTAGAACTGGGCCTGGGAGACCAGTGAGGGCAAACAGCTCAAGCAAAGGCAGGAAGGTGAGAACTGAGCAGTGAGACCAAGGCTGGGCCAATAACCCTCTGTCATAGTCTCTTGTCTGCTTTTGGCCCAGGACATTTTGTGGCCTGCTAGGACAGGGTTCACTCACTGCTCCTTAGTGAAACAGGGTGAGGGTTTTGCTGACAACTGACGAGGCTGTGATGACCGACAAGAGCCGTTTTTTGATACCATCGACCTGAGCTCTGTGTGGAACTGGGCCTCTCCTGAAGTAAGGAGACAGCTTCGGGCAGTACTCACCTGAGTGGTTGTCACCTTCCTTTTCGAAGGCAGCACCACAGCCAAAATTAGTTTGGGTGCCCCAGGCAAGGGCCCCATTACTCTTGAAATCCATAGACTTCATGTCCAGCACAGTTGGGTCAGAGATAAACAATCCAGGTTCTGTTTTTTGTGACACATTGCTTTGAGAACTGAAGTCGGTGAATAGGCAGATGGAGTTGTTGCTGGATTTAGGATCCCTTAGCTGGTATACGGCAGGCTCTGGGTTCTCAATGACTGTGGACCAAGAGAACTGAGGTTAGAAAAGGTTCTTTCTTCCTCCTTTACCCTGACCTGGGCCAGAGCTCAGATGCTAGGAGAGCTCTCTGGGCGCTAGCCAATCTTATTCTCAGGCTTCATGTGGGAAATAATGACATTTTAGAAGGCAGCTGCTCATGACAGCTTGGGACTTAGGGACCAGCACAAGACATGGGTCCTGGCCAAGATCTTGAGCTCTCAGTAGACATTCTCCTCCAGGTCCTGCCTGACATTCCAAGAAACCAGAGATGCAGGGCTACTGAATGATATTGCTTATTCTTCTACTTAAAGGAACTTCTTAAAAACCCCAGTAAGCCTAGTCAACAATATTGCTCTGGCAGGACAAAAGCGTGCATAGAATAATGGGCCCAAAGTATACATCTAGAAACACAGAGCACTGTCCCCCAACTAGGCAAGTTATGGGCAGGAAATGGAGGCGTGTGATTATGTTGACATTAAATTGGAAAACCTATCATATCACCAGACCATTCCTCTCTCATTGACAAAATTTTTGGAAAACAAACCGAAACACTTGCACCCAAGCCTGGACTCTATAATTTACCATCTATGGTAATCATATAAGTAGCTGAAGTCTCATAAATTTCACCTGTAAAATGGACATGTTGCTTCATCCACCTTTCTAAGAAGGCTGTTCTGAAAAATGAATGTTTTTCTATATCAAAGTAAGTTAGAAAACCATATAGTACTGAGCAACCACGCAGAGCTGGACCTATTGATAGGCCAGGGTTTCAGCAAAGCAGTCACACCATCTACTCTGCATCCCAGGAAGCTGGAGCTGCTCGGAGGCCTTTCCTTAGTGCTGAGACTCATTCTTTACTTTTTCCATAGCATTTTTTTTTTAATGTGACTCTCAAGGTCTACCCTTTCCTATGTCCCTCCACCTTCAGGGGAGGAAGCAGAGGTTTGCCAAGAGGATTAACACACTGGGCCACCCAGAGAGTTTCCAGAGAGAATGGATCAGAACTTCCTGCCTTTGTGGTTCTCACTCCCACAGCTCCTCACTATGCACAGAAGTTTCTCAGACCCCCATGATGTAGCCTGCTCACTGGACCAGCCAGGGTGGCCTTGGCAATGTCGGCATCCAGCTGAATCCCAAACCAAAGAAACCAGCCTTGGCATAGCCCTGGGATGCTAAGCGAAGGCAGAGCTGCCTGCTGCCGGGTGTTTCCCCTGGAGCAGCTGAGAAGGGTAGGCACTGTGGTCAGACATGGAGCTTTTCTCCCCTTACCAACAAAAGGATAAGGTGCATTGCAGGTAGTTCATATTTTTAAGCCCTTTAATTTCATCTCTATGTATATCCACTGCAATCTTATCCCTTTTTCCTGAAAGGAAGAAATGAATCACCTTTTAAATTGGAGGTCTGTGGGGTTCTATCTCTCAGAGCCCTGTGGTGAGAGACATCCTAGTCCTTCCTGGTAAGAAAACATATTTTACCACTGAAGACATCAGAACACAGCTTTAGCGAGACTTTCAAGTCCAAATTCAGCCATTTTAGATCCTAACCTGTCATCATAATTTAAATCCAACTGCAGAAGCACATGTCTGAATGCTTCAGTGCTTTAGGTCTCTAGGGGCACAGCAGTGATTGAAAATTCCCTCACCACTAAACCTGTGCTCTGTAGTTAAGCATTGGGAACCCAGTAATGAGAGTCCCAGTCCAACTTTATGATGCTATCTGTTCACTTAGGCTAGGAGGCCTCTATCTTGTTTATTCCCAAGATCAGACCAGCTTTCTTCTTGTTCTTTATGCCTGAAATTCTGCTCCCGTCCTGTTCCTTTACCCATACAGATCTTACCCATCTGTTAAGGCTCAACAAATCCTTTCTAGCACACAAAACATCCTCCAACCAGGGCCCTTTCCACCAGGACCCTAACCCATCAGAACCTGCTTATCAACATCACCAACTGCTAACGTTAGTTTTTAGGTTACTAAATGTACAATAGTTGGAAGCTTTGCCTTGTTTTTGTGCTATGTGGGGACATCTATCTTAAGCTTCTTTATTATCAGCCTAACATTCTACAGAATGATACCACTTAGAAGCTATTTAAAAAAATATCCACTGAGCTGGGTGTGGTGGTGCATGCCTTTAATCCCAGCATTCAGGAGGCAGATCTCTGTGAGTTCAAGGCCAGCCTGGTCTACATAGTGAGTTCCAGGACAGCTGGGGTTACAGGGAGACCCTGTCTCAAAAAGACCAAAAATAAAATAAAATAAAATAAAGTAAAAACCTGCTGAATGAGTCAAGTTACATTTTAATGATTTTGACCCAGATAATTAAGATTGATAGTGATGTCTTTTCCCTTCCCAGACCTCTGTAAAACCATTAGCACAACATCCCCACATAGTCTCACCTTACTGTAGTAAGAGTGGATATTTCAGGGAAAGGATAAATGACATTGGCCTATGGGGTTGCAAATGGTGCCACTCGGGATGACTCACCAGCTATTATGGACACTTGGGTTCCTTTCCCAAATGTGAGTTTACCAGTCATTCCTCCCGTGTTCACACTGCAAGTGACACCATTGCAGAAACTCACAGGCCCTCCCTACTGCTTAAGTAGAAGTAGTGGTCTCTTCCGGGAGAATCATATTCCGTCAGGTTTAGCTCTTCTGTTTTATATTGCAGTCTCTGGTGTGCAAAATCCTTTCCTCCTGCCCAATTCTACTGTGGTGCCCTGAATGAGATGAGTTTATGTGATTTTCCCTAAATTCTGTAGAATGCACTAGTGCAAAACCGCCTGTTCAGAGCAGCAATATCTTGGGTCCCCGGTAGAAAGACCTAGCTTATCAACTCCCTCCTGATTCCTAAGGGTTCGGTCCAAGGATAACGTTTCTCCAGCTCTTGGTGCTGGGTGGGATGGATTCTTTCTAGAACGATTTAAGATCTTAAGGAAGAAAATAACTGAGTTCAAGTCAGTAACTCGGCCAGAGAGGACTACTCACGTGGGTGCACAGCCAGTCTGGTGCCTGCTCCGAAGGTCAGCTTATTGAAGCCGCTAGACAACGCACAGTAGAAGGATGCTTTACAAGAACGCCAACCTGGGCAGGACCAGCCTGGCTGGGGCACTCCCCTCCTGCCTCATTCTACTCATATGGCCAAATGTTTAGCTTGGTTCCTACTCTGAAGATTAGTTTGGGGCTGAAGCTGGATTCCCACTGCAGGTAAAGTCTTTGAAACAGCCTTCCTGATGCCACCCTGCTGGAGCCTGCCAGGGTCTCAGGGCACTATCCTAAAATGCTCTGGAGTTCTTGGTTTCTTACATCTTCTATTTCCCAAAGAGGCTGTTCCCCTTTCTATTTACAAGGTAAACCTTAGCACGGCAAAGCCACGATACTAATAGCGATAATATATTAGAAAAGCTCCCAATGATCTTGTTATGTGCAGGGCATGATCTCACATTATGATGTGATACTATCATTTTGTTGTTGAAAGTGGAGAATGTATTTAATACAGCTGGTGAAGGCAGAGCCAAAGTTGAGGTCTGTTATCCTCCCTACACGTTTCTTTCTCTATACCTTATTACATCATGTAGCACACTTGCCATTCATGGGGCCTGGCCTCTTTGACCCTTGGGTAATGGCTTGTGACTCTACTCAATTTGAGTGCGAAGTCTGTATGAGCAGGTGTTCCCCCCACCTCACTCATTAGCCAACCCAGGGAATTTAACTGCCTGCTGGAATAAAAGAGAGTTTGGGTTTGCCATTAATTCATCTCTTTCCCCCAAAGGGCACCTAGCTAATTTCCTGAATGTTTGGCTTATCTGATGCTGATTTCATCAAAATGATGAGTATCTGGACCTTGTTAAAAAATTTCTATAGATCACTGTTCAGATTTTCAATTATTCATTTGGCTCTTGGTACCTCTGACTTTAATGAGAAATGGCAACATTTTATGTCACCAAGAGAGCTTGTAGAAATCATCGCCTATTTTCTCATTGACCGGTCCTCAATTCTTTTTGCTCTGGTGACTGGCATGGTCATACTCACATGGGAGCACAGCCAGTCTGGTGCCTGCTCCAAAGGTCAGCTTACTGTAGCCACCAGACAACACACAGTAGAAGGATGCTTTACAAGAATGTTAACCTGGGCGGGACCAGCCTGGCTGGGGCACTCCCCCCTCCTGGGCCTGCTTTCCAGTCTCCCTCAAGTCAGCCTTTCTCTGATGAAAGAACATTTTCACCCACTAGATGGATTTCCTTGGGAATAGCCATTTCCTCAGTCAGCTGGGAGCCAGGGGCCTTTCTGAAGGGTGGGTACCCACTCTAGTTTCGACAGCATAACTGGAGATGAATGAGCAACTTGGAAGAGTGTGAAGAGCCAGCGACTAATTGCAAAATGATTTCTTTAAGTAGACTTTTTTTTTTTTTTCCTTTTGTAATAAGGTCTGGGTCTAGTTGTGTATCCCATGGCTGGCCTTGAACTCATGATCCTCCTGCCTCAGCCTCCTGAGTGCTCAGATTATGGGTACGTGCCACCATGCTCAGTATGAAATAACTCTTGAGGGAAGAATTCATAGCACTGGTAATAGATGTAAAACACTAGCAAGGCTTAATGACGGAACTCAGGCATAGGAGGGGCTCTCTTTCCAGAACATGGCTTCTGTTATTCCTGAGGGCACTCACAGAGAGACTAAAATTATCACAGAAAATTTACAAGGAGTTCTGCTTAACTATGAAGGCAGGAGGAAGTTATGCATCTCTCTGGAGATTTCTAAGGTAAGGATTGCCATCCATGTGGGGCAAAAAAATTCTCTAAATTTGAGAATGATTTAGACAAGTACTACCTCTCAGTTCTTATTCTAAATGTGTACACACACACACACACACACACACACACACACACAACGGATTCTAAGCCATAAAACATTTGGGAAATGTATACTTATTCTAGTCTTGAAGACTGACAATACATATTAGCATTTTAAAGTCTGAGAAATCTTATAATGAAGTAACCCAGAA